AGCCGCAGCAGGGGTGAACGAGTGGGTTGGATCCAGGCTTATTTTGCCTCCGTAACAAGGGTTTTCTGATGAAAGTGTAGACTGAGCGTTCGAGATCGCGTCTACCGTAGGATAGCACATCTGAGACTCGGCCGCTTAAATGTATCTAGTGTATACGTTTGGCACGGAACATAGCAGAGAGACACGCGCTATATATGCATGATCTAACCTACCAGACGACTTCGTGGCACAATCGCACGACGCATACATCATTTGCCTGCTGACGACGTTAACCGACAGAGCCAAGGCATGCACGTGTTCCTGACTTGGAAAACATCAGGTTCTTGTTTTTTTCTTGTTTGGCGGGGAAGACGTCGATACAGTACTATATACTGCAACACATGTGTGTTGAAAATTGGTTCACAACTCATGTGGGTTGAAATTGATTCAATTAATATTGTCGTCGTGCGACGCCGGCTGACAGGTCGGTAACAGAGGCACACCGAAAGAAAGGTGTGGATGGATAAGAGCAGTCGCCAGCAAAGACGGACGGGGCAACACACACAAACATGCTCCCCCCTCGCGGGGTCCCCGTTCATGGCAGATAGATGTGTTTTGTGTTTTCAGCCGCACTAAGACTGACGTCTTTTCGTTGGTCAGCCGGTTGGCGCGGTCGATGCTGAAAATAAAAACACGCAGTCAGCAGTCAGCAGTCAGCTAGCTGTTGCTTGCGAGGAGGGCAGACAACGACAACAACATCACTCACTCTTGCTGTGGAACTCGCGGAAGGAGTGCTTCCCGTCTCCTCCCGACAGAGTCGCCACGGCGTTGCCGCTGCCGGAGTTGCTCCCGGCGGAGCTGCCGAAGTTGCTCCCCGCGGCGCTGTCGTTGCGCTGTACCACCCCCCCCCCACCCCCCCTCACGTCCCTCGCTGTCCAGGACCACCACGTGTTGGGGTTGTTCGGGTCGAACGCGTCCGGCGCATCCATGCAGTCGTACTGTTTCGCAAAGCGATACCCCCCGGACTACGGCAG